AAAGGGTGCAGTTGGCTTTGTGTCGGTGCTCTTCCCCAGCGTGTATCCTGTGGCCCTCTTGAAGGTGGATCAGGACACAGGAGAGATCTTGAGAGGACCTGACGGACTGTGCATAAGGTGCCAGCCAGGTGAGAGGGAACGTTTTGCCTTTGTGCCTGCCTGTGTCGTGCTTTTGTTGTGTTTGTTTTTGCTTTATTATAAGAAGAGCAAGTTGAGTGACATCCTATCAGTTTGAGGGAGAAAATTGAGATGTTGCAGCACCGAACGCGGAAACCAATGATACCTGCGGTTCCAAAGAGGCAGGCTGAAGAGGAGAGAGAAAGTGCATGCCTGAGGGAGAGGTAGAGGGACGAAGCATGACAGAGGAAATTGGTGAATGAATATATAAATGAGAGAGGGAATGAATGAATGAATGAATGAGGATAAAGAGACACAGAAAGGAAGAGAGATAAGGTATGGAATAGAGGGATTGAAAGAATGCTGTCGAAGGTTGCTTGGGGGAGGCTACAGGGATGGCGCAGGGGAAGTGGAGTACCTCTGCTGATAGCAGGGGCTTCCCCACAATAGACATTTGTTGTGTTGATGGCACTTTAGGGGTGAATGTCATCGAAAACTACAAACCGTATTGAATTTGTTTGTCGGTTGAACTCATTATATTTCTCAGAACAAGCCATCACCTTTAATGCGAGACTAATTTAGTGATAAGATTCACTTTGAGGAATGCATGGAAGTCAGCATCTTGGAAGTGTAGTAATAATGGGGAAAACACATTTTCTGTATCTGTTTTGATAAATAATAAGGGTTAGAGCATTAGGAATAATTCATTCCAGCTACATGAAGATTTTTACTTAAATAGTAGAAGAAATGCCAATCTAATAAATGGGTCAAAGCTGTCCATATTGAAACAAAAACAAAAAAAAATTACCTCTCTACCTTCACTATTCTCTCTCTCTCTCTCTCTCTCTCTCTCTCTCTCTCTCTCTCTCTCTCATCTCCTCTTCTCTCTCTCTCTCTCTCTCTCTTTCTCTCCCTCCTCTCCCTCTCCCTCTCTCTCTCTCTCCTCTCTCTCCTCTCTCTCACTCTCTCTCATCTCTCTCTCTTCTCTCTCTCTCTCTCTCTCTCTCTCTCTCTCTCTCTCTCCCTCTCCTCTCTCTCTCCTCTCTCTCTCTCCTCTCTCCCTCTCCCTTCCTCTCCCTCTCCCTCTCCTCTCCCTCTCCCTCTCCCTCTCCCTCTCCCTCTCCCTCTCCCTCTCCCTCTCCCCCTCCTCCCTCCCTCCCTCCCTCCCTCCCTCCCTCCCTCCCTCCCTCCCTCCCTCCCTCCCTCCCTCCCTCCCTCCCTCCCTCTCTCCCTCCCTCCCTCTCTCCCTCCCTCCCTCTTCCTCCCTCCTTCCCTCCCTCTTCCCTTTCTCTCCTTCCCTCCCTCTTCCTCCCTCTTCCTCCCTCTTCCTCCCTCTTCCTCCCTCCCTCCCTCTTCCTCCCTCTTCCTCCCTCTTCCTCCCTCTTCCTCCCTCTTCTTCCCTCTTCCTCTCTCCCTCCCCCCATTTCTCTTTTCATTTCTCTTCTCTTCTTTCTTTCTTTTCTTTTTTTCTCTTTTCTCCTTTCTTCTCTCTTTTCTCTGCTTTCTTTCCTCTACCTTCATCCCTCTTCTCATCTTTCATTTTTCTCTCTCATTCTTATGTATTAATATTTTACTCTCAGTTTTCTACAGTGGGTTCTGGGTATAGCAGTTTCCAGCATGCATTAAGGTAGGGGTATATGTCTTAAGGAGTGGTTCCTTCCTCTCCCCACATTGCTGCTGGCTCTGGAGTATGTCATTGTAAACTGTACAGTGTGCTCAGTGCCTGGCCAATGTAGTGAAGTTGTACCACACCCTTTAGTTTTATTCAGTTGACTTCTTCCTATGTTTGTGGTCCACCTCTGTGAGGATGAATCTACGTTTGCTGCATGATCCTTTAGGCCTTGCCCAATATTTGTCACTTTGGGTGTAAGTTCCCTAGCCTCAGAAGCTCATTGCTGCTCCAAAACCCCAGCTGAGCTATGTTTGTGTGATAACCTCGGTTAAACCATGCCTGTGCTCAAACTAGATAGGCGAGGTCAGAATATCTAGCAGCTGACAACTAGCTTTATGTTGTTTAGGAGAGTATATGTTTTGCACACTTATGCCCCGGTCAGCAGAAATCTTGTAGGAACTTCTCACTTGCATTTTCTCATTTCTTAGTTTGCCTCCCACTGTGACTGCTAGAAATTTGGCCTCACATATTATAGTGATTTTGTTTGTTACTGATTCGAGCCTGATGTCGTTATGATTTATTGTTTTAATCGTTATCATCATCGTCATCATTATTCACCTGCTCATCGGTATCCATAAGTTATTCATCCCGCCCTTCACCCATTTGCAGGCGAAGCAGGAGAGTTTGTGGGCAAGATTGTGCGAGGAGACCCCGTGCGAGATTTCCACGGCTACGCAGACGAGACTGCCTCCAAGAAGAAGGTCGTTAGGGATGTGTTCAGGAAGGGAGACGCGGCATTTCTGTCTGGTAAGAAAGGAAGAGGTATTTAGGACTAATTGAGGTGCAGGGAGAGGGAAGGAAAGCTGGCTCAGGGTCAGGGGGTACTTCTCCCTAATATTAAACTTTAAATTTAATCAAGAGCTCCCATTCTCTCTCTCTCTCTCTCTCTCTCTCTCTCTCTCTCTCTCTCTCTCTCTCTCTCTCTCTCTCTCTCTCTCTCTCTCTCTCTCTCTCTCTCTCTCTCTCATTTCTCTCTCTCATTTCTCTCTCTAATTTCTCTCTCTTCTCTCTCTCTCTCTGTAATTTCTCTCTCTTCTCTCCTATTCTCTCCTCTTCTCTTCTCTTTTCTCTTCTCTTCTCTTCACTTCTCTTTTCTCTTCACTTCTCTTTTCTCTTCACTTCTCTTTTCTCTTCTCTTCACTTCACTTCTCTTCTCTTCTCTTCTCTTCTCTTCTCTTCTCTTCACTTCACTTCTCTTCTCTTCTCTTCTCTTCTCTCTGTCTCAGACTAATACTTAAAAAATGAATTTAGTGGTAATAATGATAAATGGATTAATCATATTAAATGGTCATAATACATAATTAGTGTAGTAATGAAATTGTGTGACAGTAGTTAGAGTGATGCCTGAATGATGACTTGCAAATCCTAATAAATCCCCATAAATCTGCGATAAACATTAACCACATCTAAAAAACCTCCAGGCGACATCCTTGTGATGGACGAGGAGGGCTACCTCTACTTCAAGGACCGCACGGGAGACACTTACCGCTGGAAGGGGGAGAATGTGTCCACGGCCGAGGTGGAAGCCATCGTGTCGGGCGCCCTTGGAAACGCTGATGTCGTGGTCTATGGTGTTGAGGTAGGGAGGAGGAGGGGGAAGGGGGGAGAGGAGATGTAGGGAAGAATGAGTGGGAGAGAAGGAGAGAGGGAGAGAGACTTCTTTAACTTTGGTAAGTTGATTGAGACAGAAATATGACAGAAATATGAGAGGAAGCGGAAGAGGAAGAGGAAGAGGAGGAGAAGAAGAGGATGAGGATGGTTTGGAAAAATGGAAAGAAAGACAGTAAGGAGAGAAAGGGGAAATTGAAATTGAATGTGATTTATTAATTTTAATACTACCTTTCACCAGGTTCAATTCTCAGTTTACACTTTCATTTATCACCGATGTGAGAACCACTTAAAGGTTTTGATCCATGCATGATGTGAATTTGAAAAACTGCTGCACTTTCCAAAGGCAGTGATGTGTAAAGCAAGAACAAATATGGGCTAAGAGTTGACCCCTGAGGTGCTCCATTTCACTCGAGAGGTGGAGGCTTTCCTTCTCAAAATACATGTACTTTCTTCTGTACAACAGCCAAGATGTAAACCAGTTAAACTCAGTTCCGTGAAACTGTTAGATTAACAAAATGAAAAGTTTCACTATGGTCTAAAAATATATGTATAGTAAACTGTTTCTTGTCAAAAGAAGCAAAGATGTCTCTGCTTATAATTATTTACCAAAGAAATGAGTTGAAATGTTCAGGTATATCATTTGAGTTAGTGACAGCATTGTTGTTTATTTCAAATGTGCTGCCCATGCGTGGCCCAAAATCCGGGCTTCAGCTTGGTTGAGTGGTGACTCATCCAGGTGTATGATTTGTAGGCGTGGCCCACAAGTACACGTGTGTAGTGCCAGACTCATTGTCTCCCTCTGTAGTGTCATTATCCCTTTTTGTGCATAAACAGTTTTTGCCATTTGCCAAGGTCAGTATTTGTCATTTGATATGCTATAGCAAGATGGGAAAAGAATATTTTCCTTGTACAATGTTCATATCATCCCTCTAGTTTGTGTATGACTCTGCAATAGCAATAGCAAAAGATAACATTTTGTTCTTTGTGTCATTTTAAAAATATTTTCCCATTATTCAATTTTCTATAGTGCATCCTGTGCTGCCGGTCACAGCAGCCAGGAACAGAAAGTGGAGCATGGAGATTGTCCTTCCTGGAGTCAGTTCTCTGAAAGCCTTGGTTCACAGATGGCACATTCAAGCCTCTTTTATTGAGCACTTGTGGCATGACATTCAGTTCACTCCATAATGTCACATTCTCTCATATTTTTCCATGACAGCATATCCTTGGGACCAGTCCATTAACCTATTTTTTAATGGCAACACTTGTCATGTCACCTGGATCAATTAGGCTAATGGTCCCTTACTGTCAGAGCCAAATTTCTTCCAAATAAAGGCCTTATCACACTAGCACTTTTCTGTCAATTTTTATGTTTCAATATGAACTTTCCACATACAAATGGCCTGCCCGTATCATGCTACCAAGGCAGCAGATGTTTCCATGTGATCAAACATGGCGCCACCTGAATGAGAGCCCAGAAATCACACAAGCATTCTCACATATATCATGGTATTTTAAAGAAATACAGTGAAGTATATTGTATAAAGAAATGTTATAGAATATTAATTTACCATATTACATTTTTTTTTCTAATTCATCACTA